TGGAGGGTGGTGGCGTTGTCACCCCGCCGGCCGCCTCGTCCCCGCCTCGTCCCCATCCGTCCCAAGGGCGGTGCTGGGAAGGGGCAGTATAATCCTGCACCAAGTCTGGATGGCGCCTGAGAGAGTAACTTCAGTTTCTGACTCGCATAAAGAGCAACCGCCTCATTCTTACTGTAGTGGAGGCTTACGGACCGTCTCTCAACTCTCAGCAAAGTTACAAGATCTTACCTCAATAAAGCTGTTCGCACCAGCAGTCCCTTTATGGGAGTTGCTTTGCCTTGGCGCTTTCTCTTCAGAAATTGAACTGTAAGGTGTGGTGAACCGCATCGTGGTTGGGTGGTGGTGCGTGCGTGAGCCAGGGTCCTGGCCCTGAGCGCAGAGAGCACCGTTTCTGTCCGAACTGAGGGGTTTTTTACCCTCATAAGGAGCAGATCGTGCTTCTGCTCAGCTTTCCTTTCTAAGTAGTCACCTTAACAGAAAGTGTTGTGGGGTCACATGTCTGTAGCTCAGAATACCTCTCTGGGCATCACTCGGAGTCCCTCTCTCTCACTCTATTGGTGCTTTTATGTTAAAAGTTGGTTTCGTAAAGACTGTGTAGGACAATGTAGCCAAAACCCAAGGAATATTTACGTATGTGTATACTTTCAGTAAGCATTCTGACTGAAACTATTTAAATAATTTTATAAGCATGTAATCCTGTCTGTCTAAGACTGCTTACCCGCACCGGGGAACTCTCTTCCTAAAATAGATGCCTGCATTTTAGTTGTCTGGAGAGTGATAGTATCTCCGAAGACCACTGGAGGGAGCAGTTGGCTACCTAACAGCTCCTTAGCTCCTAACAGCATATGCAACTTCTCCCCGGAGACCCAAAAGCACTTCCCTCTCTTCGAAGACTGTGTAGGAAATGTGGACACTTTTTAAAAATATCTAGCATTTGCGAATAAATTTGATTCCTAAATAATTGTTTAGAATTCTGTTAGGAAAAAAGGAAATCATATTCCTTGTGGCATCTGTGTTACAGCTACATATAATTTACCCTTGCTGTTATCTTCTAGTGGGCCTTGCCTTCTGTTCTGTTATTCCCCCTACCTAATCCCCTAATCCCTTTTCCTCATTATCTTGCATTTTCTATTATCATCTTTCAGTTCATCACTTTCACTCCTTCAGCCTCCCAGGAAATCCCAGGTGCCAAGTAAGATACCAAGGAAACAACACTGCTGGTAAACCTGTGCTGTAAGATGGCAAGAAATTTCACTGGCAGCAGGATGACCCAGTAACAGTATCAGGCAGTTGGTAAGATCATGACTGCTGCCTGGTACAAGAGGACTGGCAAGGAAGGCTACGTGAAATTCATGAAGAAACGTGTTCCTGAAGAGCCAGCCCTCGAACTTCAAGGATGGCATGGCAGGCATGCAGGTTTTACAGAGACCTTGAAGAGGTCTTGAATTGCCAAACACGTCTCTGACCCAATGTTTGTTTTGTTGTCCATGTCATAGGTCCCAGGGCTGCCAAAGGGATGAATCTGAGTAGAACCAACTGAGCGATCAGCAGCAAAGATACAAAGACAAGCCATGCTAGCATGGATACAATACATCATCTCCACTAATAAGATCTCACCAGTTTTTGGGCCAGACATCCTAGAACTGGGAACCTGGAGACAGTACACTTCAGAGGTAGACTCAGCTCCTCCTTGTTTCCAGATGTTCACAGGCTGTTTGATCACATTTTGTATTTTTTTCGGTTCTTTGTCTGAGTCAGGTAATGTATTTTTTTAAGCAGTTACTTTTTGTTCCCCAACTTTCCTTATGCCTTTCCTTATCTCCTGTTGCCTTGGTTAAGGAACCTTAAATCACACAGTGGCAACTACTCTTCTCTGGCAGCTGCCTGATGGCAACCACTCTTCACTTTGTTAACCTAAAGTAACCAAAGTCACAGGTTACCGAGGATAATTTTTGACAACCGTAACGGGAGAGTCTGGAGAAGAGAGCACTCTGTGGCCCTGTCCTCATTACTGGACCCCTCAGAAGTCCTCAAAAGGACACATTCAGGGACATCAAGAGTCCCCTATGCCAATGCCCCAGTTTCCAGCCTAGATAAATGTACTGCTTTTCGATATATGCCTGTGGAGGGGAGGGGAAAGTGTGCATTAGGCTTCTTTCGATACTGAGACAGTGGATTCAGAACTGCAATCTGATTGTAAGGGACTGTTAATGCTTTTAAAAGTAAATCTCCCGGTGCTATGAGAAATCCACTAATTACATTAGAAAACATCTCGCAGGGTAAGCTAAACATGCAGCATGCCTTGATAACACAGCCTTCCTAGCTTCTACTGCAAGGCCCTTGCCTTTGCTGAACACAGCAGGTTGCGAGCTGATGGAGAGGCAAGAGCACTGCACACAGCAGTGCTACAAATTGCCTCCCTGCCCCATGAGCAGCAAGAAAGATGTGTCACTTTGCAAAACAAAGCAGGGCCGGACTGGCAGGGGGAACAGAAGGCCTTGGGGGGGGTGGTAGGAGAAACAGCAACTGTGGGAGGCCTTCGGTCTCTTTCCAGAGCCACCCAGTTATGCTGCAGATGGCGGGGCAGCTGCAGAAAGAGCCAGAGGAAGAAGGAAAATTCATCCTGATCCTGAGGAGGGTCCTCTAGGCCCCTCTGGCTCTGCGCCCCCAGCCTATAGGGCCCCCGTGGAGGCACCCAAGTCAAGCTGTAGCAGTGGGCTATGGGGGCTGCCTGGCCCTGTGCTGTTCTGCACACAGCCTTGTGCCTGCCACTGTATTTAGATGGCCACGATGGCCAGATTTTATTCATATTTTTCCCCAGTGGGCCCTATTTGCCTACAGTTGACTGTTCATGTTTTCAGTCATGTTGTTCCCTCCCCTTTTCCCTAGTTTTTGTCCTTTGCCCCAGTTTCAAACATCCTGGGACACCTTGTTCCTCCCTTAATATATATATGCATGCACATGCACGCTATTTTACACTACACTTTTTACAAGCTATGGGCCGTGTTGATCTGCTCTAGGAATCAAGTTTTGTTGTTTGAACACTTCTGTTCACGCACTTCTGCCTAGCTGCAGATGTTTCTCCAATTGAGATTTTTGCCCTCTGTCTGTAAAAGTTTCTTGCTTTCCTTTCTGTAGGGTAGTAGTGAGGTGGAAGAGGGAGCCTGAGGCCATGGCATGTTGATAGCCCATTTAGAGAGTGAAAGGCGCAGTCCCTCTTGCAATCTTTGCAAGAGAGACAGGCAGGCAGAGCCTCTTGGTTTTGTACGTAAAAGGCAGGAGGGGGGGTAGTTTGGGACACTGAAAATGTTTGGCTTCAGGGAATCTCTGGAGCAGGCAACATGGGCCACTGGGAACTGAAGACCCACCAGGAGGCTGGAAGGGCACTAGTACTCTCTGAATAGAGTATTTCAGCCAAAAAACTGGGCACAGCGTGAGGGGGTTGAGTCATCCTGAGAGCTTAACTAGGAAGGGGGGGCAATGAGAGCACCTACTTCCCTGTGGAAAGGAGAGGGAGAAGGGTTTGTCCCATCCTGTACGGCCTAATGACATGGATCTGCCACCAGCCTCACGAGTTCTTGTCAAGCCTTACTGCCTCTGAGCAGACCCACAGCTGATGCTTGCACAGCCTTTACAAGCACAAAGAGGCTTGTCTTGGGTCAGGAGGGAAGGCAGATGAGACAGAGAGATACTGAGAGTCTGCCTACTTCTTTTTAATCTCTGCGCCACTTCTCTCTTCCACTTCGGTTCTGTGAGCTGTAAGGGCACGGTTAAACTAGGCATGGGCTCTGTTGCTGTTGGGGAATGGCCTCATTAGATAGTGGTGCAGGGCCGTGGGCCGCAGTGATAGCGACGCTAATGGAGACACTGATGTGGTACCATCTCCGTGTGAAAGAGGCAGAAGAGTGGGGCGCTTCCCAGAGGGTCTTGCAGAGAGGCCCTCCGTCAAGGGAACGCAGCAGGGATTTGTATGAGAGTTTTCCTTCACAAAACTTCAAACCAACGTGCAGGAGAGACATTTGGCGTAAGAGACCAGACTAAATCCAATCTGAAGAAAACTCAAATTACTTATAATGGAGATATGCAGAGCCTCAGCACTTCAGTGTACGGATCTGCTCCTGTTGTATCAAATTACTTGGTAATGTAGTCCTAGCCAGCCACAAAGGCTCCAGATAAATCTGAGAAAAGCGTAAACAGGGGAGAAATGGAGAACTTCCTCTTCCTCTTTCCATCCCAGTGGAATCTGCTGCTTTTATAATGCTGTCAGATTCTGAGCTGAACAGATTTAAAAAGGTGTGGCTAAGTCCTAACGTCTAAATCCTGGTTTTCGGGTAAGTACTGCCATATTAACAAAGCAACAGGGGAGCGTTCAAGCTAATCCCTGCTTACCCAGTGTATGATGTGAAACAGAAAGAGGGAAAGACTATTTAGCCTACCATACAGATCAATGGGCAGTATGACCAATATTATTATTGGCCAGTTATAGCTATTTCTTTCCAATTAATTGTATTCAAGTCCATACGCTCATCCATATGTTTGGCCTATCCATAGATTTTGCAGCAGAACCACTAGGTTAATTAGAAGCATGATTTTTCTCTTTACCAAAATAATTATATCCTCAGTAATTATATCCTCAGTGAGGATGCAATCACAGAGTCTATCTTACTTCTATTCTTTAGAGAAATAAAGGATATCAGCACAAATACTTTATAATATTGGTTTTACTGCAAACTAAGACCTTGGATGGATGTTACTGCACAGGTTTATGCTAAGGCAAATTCATTTATAGTCAACAAAGTAAAACTAACAAATTTCATGGTCGCAAAATTTTACACTGAGGTGGTGCGCGATGCAGTGATTACACTTCACATTGGTCTGTGTGCAGCTATAAGAAAAATGGATATAGAAATAAAAGAAAAATACTTAAAAAAATGCACTTAAAATGTTCCTTTTTAAATATGTGTAACAGCAGGCTCATTTATTAGTTAATAATTAACTTAGCAATGACTGCTACAGAGCCATGGTACGTAGTCAAGACCTCAGCGTGTTACGTTTATTAATCTTCAAGGTAAGGAAGAAGAAAACATGTATTAGATAACCTAAGCATAAATGTTAAATTTTCAAAATTTTAATTTAGAAACTGAAGTCTGATTTCAGCGGTAGAAATACGAATGTAATTGTAGTTAATCTGAAAGACTACCGAGTGGCATTTATTTTTTAATTGTATTTCATTAAGCCCCTCAAATGATCTTCTTCTTCTGGCACTTATCCAATCCCACTGTGCACTTATTTCTAGGAAAGATTTAAATAACTAATACTCATTAAAA